ATGTCACTTAGCATAGGAGAGCATTATGCTAAGTGCAGCAAAGTCTGAAATAGTAGTCTTCTGATCTATACGCCCAGGACACATTGTAGACCACACCTTGATTCTGCTCAGCTCCTACAAGCCGTTTCTCCCAAAAGATCTGTCAATCTTTTATTAAAATCCCATCTTATGATTATGGTCAGTTTTCTAAATTTTTCCACCAAACCAAAAACTCCACGAGGATGGAAACATTATCATTACAATTCATTATAATTTTATACATCTGTCCCTGTTGGTATTCCATTAGTACTTATTGACTTAACCTCAGTGACTGCAAGGGACCCTCTCTCTCTCTCTCTCTCTCTCTTATATATATACTCTCTCTCTCATAGCAAGCTGCATTCTGACCAGTTGCTATGATGTGCACTAAGCACCAGGGGGCAGATGTTCAACGCAGGAGCTGCCGAGCTGCAGTGACTTGGCAGTGGCGGTTCTCAGGTGATGCACCCTGAAACCAGAGAGGAGGAAGCCCTATTCCTTGCAGAGCCATGCGATTCCACCTTCAGGCATGGGTTATGTTGCTGGGACACTGTGGGCCCTGAATCTGGTTTACTGCACACTTGCTTTTGCGTTCCACACCCTGTATGACAGCAACTTTGCAGAGTGCCCTCTTGCATTCCAGGACCCCTCAGGGGATGTTGGAGAACCAGTTTCAGTCTGATCCCCACAGGCCAGACCAAGGGACTCCACCTGCCAGAGGGACCCCGCTCACTCCACACACCAGGGAGGGACTAAGGGAGGTTGACTCCAGGGCGTGTCTGGCCCGTATCACCCAGTCCCACCCCAATGGCCACCTTCTAATTAATTTCCTTTCAATGTGCATGAATCTGTGCACTGGGTCACTAATTATGAAACAAAAAAAATAACCCTTGCCATGGCCAGTGTGGCTCAATTGGTTGAGTATTGTCCCATATACCAAAAGGTGGCAGGTTTGATTCCCAGTCAGGGCACATACCCAGGTTCTGGGTTCCATCCTTGGTTGGGAAGCATGTGGGAGGCAACTGATCAATGTTTCTTTCTCACACCAATGTTTCTCTCTCTCTCCCTCTCTCTAATATCAACAAATAAAAATAAATTAAAAAAAATAACCCTTGAGGTTCTTCACTGTAATCAATCCACCTGCCTTGGTCCCTTCCTAGTTCTGTGATCTCAGTTAAATTAATAAAATTCCCCAGCCCCCACTGGATAGTGAACATTATGAGGGCAGGGGCATGTCTATTTAAAACCCATAGCACAGTGCTCTGTATTTAACCATTGGAAATAGATTGGCTAAATGAATGGGTAAATTAATACAACACTACAAAAGGATTTTTAATTATCAGTGTTATAAAATATAAAACTTTACTAAGATCAAGCTGTTACAGTATTTTGGCAGTATAGTAAATCTATGTATATCTTCTAGACTAAAATAAAATATATGATCATCTCTCTGAGCCTTTCACTTTAATGTATTTACTCTATTATTTATTTTAACTTTGAAGTCACTATCAGCTCCCTACCACCTGCCTTTATCCTTTTCTGGGAACGAATCATTCATTCATGCATGCAATTAACATTTACTGAGCACTTACTGTCTACCACAAACCAGGCTGCAAAGATTCATAAGGCTCTCTCCCTGCCTCTAAAGGATTTATATGTTACAAAGAAAATCCAACGCATAAACAATTTATAATTAATGGAGGTGTTATGATAGAAGTAAGAAAAAGTGCTATGGTTATAAGAGTGATTCATTCTGCCTGGGGAGTCTGCTTCTGGGAGCTTACATGTGGGAAAGTGATTTTTCTCTTTGCAAACTAAATTGACTTACTGGTAATAAAAATAGTTTCCATTTGTGTGGTACATTGCAAAGTGCTTTCACATCCATTTATTATTTTAATCCTCACAGTAAAGGCTCTATAGTGTAGTGGTTTTTAAAAATATATTATTCATCAAAAAAGGGAGCTATAAGGTCAACAGATAAATAATATGACATTCATTCTAAAGCCCAGAGGAAGATGATACAAGTCAAAACTGGAAATGGGACTTAGTTGAGGCCTCTGAGGAACCATTCCAAGAAGAGCTCAGAGCAAAAAAAAACTGTCTTTTCCCATCATCCTCAGTGTCACTGCCTTACCTCAAGCCTGAGCCAACATTTTGCTCATAAGTTATTATAACAACCTTCTAACTGTTTTGTGTTCATTTGCCTCCAAACCATTTGCTACATTGGCCACAAAACAATAATTTTAAATGCAAATTGGACCATGTCATTTTCCTACAGATTTGCTCATTCTAGAGGATAAAGTCCAAATGCTTCTGCATAGTGCATAAAGCTCTCAACCATCACCCAAACCTATCAAATTTTTCTAATTCTTTATTGGTAACTCTCTTCTAACAATCTTACAGATTTTTCGCAAAGCCACCATACTGTTTCCATTTCCATGCCTTGAGAGTGTCTTTGTCCTAGAATTTCCTTAGCTCTCCACTATTCTGTCTGGTAGAATGAAGGTGGATATAGAAAGTGTGGCTTTTTGTTGTTGTTGTTTCTATATACACTTACTCAATAGTAATGGTAAAATCCTGGCAACACAATTTTTCCACCTTTTTTCCCCCTCTTAATTCATCACTGCATAAAATACAGTTTGGGAACCACTAGTGTAGCATTTTCTCCTAAAAGCTCAAGAAGCAATCACTATATGTTTTTTTTGGTTTTGTTTTATTTATTTATTTATTTATTTTTATTGATTAGGTTTACATATGTGTCCTTATTCCCCCATTGCTCCCCCCACCCAACCCCCGCTCATGCTCTCACCTCCTGGTGTCTGTGTCCATTGGTTATGTTTATATGCATGCATACAAGTCCTTTGTTTGATCTCTCCCCTTTACCCTCACCCTCCCCTACCTTCCCTCTGAGGTTTGAGCATCTGATCAATGCTTCTCTGTCTCTGTCAGAGAAAGATAAATATCACATGATCTCACTCATTTCTGGAATATAATGAACAACATAAACTATGCTTTTTTTTATTACACATCAAAGATTCATGACATTTACATGCATTTAACAGAACTAAAATATATTCTTTTGTGAGCCTTGTCTGTGCTGTATTCTAAGGAACCAGTTGAGGATAAGTCAAAACAAGGCAGAGATAAGTGTATGATGGATCTTACATTCAATAAAATAAACAATAAAATAGATGAATAAGTTGAATCTTATAAATTGGTGATAAATGCTATTAAGGAAAAAAGGCTGGTCTGAGAAGTGAGGTAGTTTGGAGAGGAGAGTCCATAAAGGTCTCTAGGAGGAAATGACATATTAGATGAGACTTGCAAGATGTGAATCCAATAATGCAGTTGGGAGAAGAGTGTGCTGGGCAGAGGAAGAGCCTTGGAGTCGCTGAAGAACTGAAAGACCAGTGTGGTTGTACATAGTGAGTGATGGGGAGAGTAGGATGGGTCAATAGTAGATCAGGCAGCACCTGACAGGCCAAGGCAGGAAGCCATTGAAAGATTTAAGCAAGTGAATGATGAAGCCGAATGCAACACTTGTTGCAGGGTGCAGGGTAGAAACACAATGGAATGTTGTGCAGCCATAAAAAAAGAAGGAATTCTTACCTTTTGTGATAGCATGGATGGTCCTGGAAATTATTATGCTAAGTGAAGTAAGCCAGTCAGAGAAAGACAAATACCATATGATCCCACTTATATGTAGAATCTAATGAACAAATAAACTGATGAACAAAATAGAGACATGGATATATGGATCAGACTGACAGCTGTCAGAGGGGAGGTGGGAAGGGCAGATGGGATGAAAAAGGTGAAGAGATTAGCTAAAGAACATATATGCATAGCCCATCTACACAGACAACAGTGAGGTGATGGCCAGAGGGAAGAGGAGGCGGGGGCTGGGTGGAGGTGGGCAAGGGGGGGGGCATTTGTAATATTGTCAACAATAAAATAAAGAGAGAGAGAGAGAGAGAGAGAGAGAGAGAACAGAAGAAGCAAGAAGACCAGTTAGGAGGCTATGATAATGGTCCTTTAAGTTATTTTGATGAATGGAACTATCTTGGTGGCAATGGAAGTATAGAGAAGTGGATGGATTTGAGAAACACTTTGGAGATTAATCCAACAAGACTATTTTGAAGGAAAGCAAAAAAATATAAATCAAGGATGAATCCTAGGTTTCTGGCCTGAAGCAGCAAGATAGATGACATAGTCATTTACTGAGATTGGGAAGCCTGAGGGGATTTTAAAAATGAAAAAAGGATTGAAGTTTCATGTTGGACATGTTGTGTTTGAGATGCCTAAAAAATGTTCCAGTGGAGCCACCATGTAGGCAGCTGGACAACAAGTTTGTACTTCAGCAGGGGGTCCTGAGCTAGATACGTAGGTGTGGGCATTTTTAATATAGAGATGGGTGAGATGAATTTATGCATTAAATGTTTTACTGGAAATAATGCATGGAAAGTGTTGGGGTCCAACCCCAGCAGGCCAAGGGGTTCCCCAAGGTGTGGACGGAGTCGGCAAAGAAGGAATGACATGGAGGCAGCGTTCAGTCGATCATCATAGCCAGGTTCTTTTTATGGAGACAGCCTCTGAGACAGCGTTCAGTTGATCAGCAGCCTAGCCAGGTTCTCCAGCCAGGTTCTGTGTTTTTTTTTTGTGTGTTTTTTTTATAGAGTTTTTTTGTTTGTTTTGTTTTTTGTGCAAATGGTTTTTATTTTATTTTTTATTTCCACATTTATATCACAAGGTGTCCACTTACTGGACCAAATAGCAAAGTTGCTCCCTTCTGCATCCTGAGAACACAGAAGTCTAGATACTGTACATTCACTAAGGCTTCTTGTTTTTGCAAATCGCGTTATGACAGGCAAACGAATCTAAAGGAATGGTCATGAGTGTTTCCAGCGCACAGACAGGTCTCCTTGACAACAGTACAGCTTTACACACGGGTAGCACCTGTGGGAACATTTTGTTTTGGGGATGAGACTCTAGAAAGGTGAAGTTTTTCTAGATATGTGCAGAAAAGGGAAAATGAAAAAATAGAAAGGAACATTATTTGGCTGGTGGTGAAATGGAATGGAATAAACTCTAGAAAACAAATTTTTGCAGCATTTCTTTAAAAAGTGAGTTTGAACTGAAACGAAATACTCATGTGTGGATGCCCATGGAGTGTGGGTCAAACAGGCTGGCCACCTGATGCCAGCAGCTCATTACATCTGGCACCATGATGGAAACACTGGCTGGATGGGGTGCAAATAGGCCATGAGGTTGCCCACTGCCTCAAACACTCAGGGCCAAATGAAAGAACAGAAAATGCAGATAGATGCGATGCATGCTTCTGTCACTGTGTTAAAGGTAACTTCTCCCACAGGTTTTCTGTGCCTGCCTGCAACTGAGGTCCCAGCTCATGGATGCTGGGAAGTGTCCGCACCTCTCCTGGGGTGGGGAGCTGACGCGTTTTATAGCTGGTTTGCTATAGAGTTCTGAACTCACTTTGCCGGCCTTCCTTCCACGCGGTCCTTCCTTTGTAATTTTGTTAGTAAACTGGTAGCAGCATTTCACAAAAGAAGGAGAATTTTGAGGGAAGAGCTTAGAGAGACCTAAGACTCCCGCCCCTCCCTTCTGCCTCAGCTGGGCTCCAAACCACGAGGCTTCCAGGCCTGGCCACCCTCCTGCTAACTGCAAGGTGGGAATGCACTTAGAGGCTGAGGGGCCAATCAGTCTAAGCAAACATAAGGCAGCATGTTCAATCGCCCGCCGTCACCGTGCGGATAAAGCGATATGCACTGCGTCCAGTCATACCAGTTACCCAGTGTGTCCACACACCCATTCACCCCTGGCCACTGGTGGGCGTGGATTCTGTCCAGATCGTTCTGGGTGACCTGGCGGCTTAGCTCCGGGAGGTCAGTGGATGGGCCTGGAGGCAGTAGCACCTGTGGCGTCCTGGCCCCACGCTGGGTGCTCTCCTCCTGTTTCAGGAACTCAGACATGAAGTGGTGGGCCCCTGGGGTTTGTGCGCCCGAGGATGAGAGCAAGCTGCTCTGCGGGCTTAGGTAGGACTGAATGATCTCATTGCGCGACAGCTCCTTCCGGTTCGTCTGCTCAAAGGGGCTTTGGAGGCTGGTCTTGGCCTCGGGTTTGTCCAGCCCTGTCCTGGGTTGCTCCGTGTGCACAGGGCTGTCGGCCCGCACTGGCTCTTTCTGGGTCAGAGGTTTGATCTGTCTTGTCATGGGGTCCAAGGTGAGCTTCCGCTCTTTTAACCGCACAGGCTTGACGCCTGCCTCGGCCACTTGGCCGCCCAAGTTCACCGTGTAGTCACGAGGCTGTTTCCTCTTCTTTTTGCTGTCTGAACCACCAGAGGAGGCTGCATCACTGTCCGCCCTAGAGGAGTCTGGGGAGAAGCCAGCCCGGGGTAGGATGGACTCAGCTGGCGACAGCCCTGCCTTGCAGACCGGCCCTGCCAGTCGCTGGTGGCCCTCAGGCTGCTCTAGCCAGTGCACTGGGCTCTCAGTACTGGGCAACAGCTCTAGCCGCCGCACAGGGCGTGTGCATGGCTGGGCAAGTGGCAGTGGTGATGGCACCTGCGTGACATCGAGCGACTGGGGCAAAGGAGCCCTGGTGCCGTGAGTTCCGGGGACTGAAGGAGCAGCGAGGTGGCCCTTTGGGGTGGGGAGGTCCCGAGGTCTGGTCCGCCCTTTCCAGCTGCTGTCGCACTGCAGCCTTGCTTTGCAAGCAGGGCCCGGAGGGCTTGCCCAGACCTGGGGAGCTGGTGTGCGGCCTCACAGCATTGATGGGGATCTTGATGCTGTGCTTGTCATTCTCGCCCTGCTCCAGGCAGCTGCCCTCAGGGCCCACGTGTCTGCCACTGTCCAGGGGACCTGGGAAGCTCTCGGGGCTCCCACCTATCCCATTGGTGGGGAGAGGTGATGAGTTGGGAACCAGGGAGTCATGAGTTACTTTGGAGACCTTGGGAGGTGGCCCAGGGTGGCCAAGGTCACGCTGGTCCCCCCGGCGCTTGTGACTGCCCAGCCTGTCCAGCCGCAGCCCAGGCAGTCTCTGGATGTCATTGCGGTTCTTCAGGTCATGGATGCTCTTGGGTGCGCTGGCCACCCCCACCTCTGGCCGGCAGTTGTGGGCACCCCCGTTAGCAGAGCCAGGGGCACCTGCCAGCCCCCGCAGCACTGCCTCATTCTGGTGCACAGGCTCAATGAGCTTCTGCCAGTTCCGCAGCAGCTTCTTGGCCCGCTTGGCGAGCTCTTCATTCTTGGTCTTCTTGCGGACGTCATTGATGAGTTTCCCAAGTCGCGTCTCCTCCAGTGCCTCTTTGGTAATGGGGTATTTCTCCAGGCTGGAGATGATTTCCAACACCACCACGATGTTCTGGATGTTGCTTTGGGGATCGATGGCCTGCAGCAGCCGGTCCCTGATCTGCTGCGGAGAGGACGGAGCCGCTGCCATTGCCTGGGCCAGAGGGGAGGTG